TCTCGTCAGACGATTCGTGGCGCAAGCAAGCCTACAGAAGATGACGTAGCGCATGGCGACTCGCATAGGTTGGCAACGTCAACCTGTCGAGTCGGTTCTAATCGGTCCATTCCGGTGATTCTGCGTATACGCGTATCAGTAGCGCGGACTACATTCCGCGTACCGCGGGCTAGATTTTCCAACATCTGAATAGTAGTTAATCACGGGGAATACAGAACCTCTACTTTTCGTAAATTTGTCGCAACGAGAAGTCAACGTTTAGCTTCTGTAGGCACTCAGGAGCATGTGGGCCCCGGTCCTCTTCCGGTGCCGAGTCCCCACTTGTCGCCCGGAGTCGGTAGAATTTAATCAGGGCTCCTCTGAATATTGGGCCGGCCGCACTGTCACGTCAAGAGTTACAATGAAAGGTCAAAAACTGCTGCCTGTGGTGAGAAGAGTATGTCTTGGTGCTCGTCATTGGACTCGGGTGGTGCAAGGTCCTTGATCGTGTGCACTCTATAACGACACGAAGTGAGAAAGGAAGAATATGACCACGCCGGCGGATGAAATGTACAACAAGACAGTGGTGAACCGGAGCCAATATGAACAATAAATCCAGTTCCAGGTCCAGCAGAGGGATGTGCACGGGAGTAGCCTGCCAGAGAGCCTAACATTGAGGCGAAATGAAGGATCCGCTGCTTGGAAGGATTCCAGAAGTCCTTGGTGGCAGTGTTGATGGATCCTCCACGTCTTCGCCTTGCGTCGCCACCTGGCGGATGGCTCACTATTGCAAACCTCCCACCTCCCACCAAATGCATCATCACACCGGCTCCACTCTCAAATGGCTTGTGAATTTAACTGGGGAGGGCTGGCCTCAAAACCGCAGGAGTCTAAACAAATGCAACGCGGTCAACGACGGTGCTTGAGGCGGGTCGTCCCAGTCATAGATTGGTCACAGGCAGTCTACTTCAGGTTAGGTAGGTAGGGGCTGCGGACTCGAAGCAACCGGAGTCGATAATTGGAGCCGATGGGGTGCAATCAGGGACGCATTGGTGGGCATCCTTCGAGTACCTTTCTCTCCAACGGCTGGACGGCAGCGCCAACGGCCGATTGTTGCCCCGAGCACACCTCATGAAGTCATGAAGCGCACGAGTCCGAGTGGTAGGTAATACGCCTTCTGCCTCCAAGCCCGTGGCCAACCTGTCATCTGCTGTCGTTGATTGAACATGGAGTGGCGTGGTCCCCAAGGAACGCCATGTGGTCTTCTCTAAGGCTGGTCGGCGGAATGTTGGGCGGCTGAGCAAGGACCCATGCAGTCAATCAACCCAGGCAAATAACTAGACTTGCTAGGTACCTGCAAGCGAGCATCCACATATCGAGGCCACACGCCCAGCCCTGCAAGCCTAACGAACGTCTTGCAATACGACAATACGGTATTGCAGCCTCGCCTAGCTACTATGTAGCTAGCCTTTGGGCGCCAAAGGTAGGCTGACAGCAGGACCGATATCACATGCCAGCCTCAGGGTGTCGAGGTGTGCAGTCTCATGAGCGACAGTGAGCAGGGCCATTTGAGATTGAGAAAATGCCATGCCCGGAAAGATGCGCTCGATGAGTATGAGGCCCTCCCGAGATCCCAGGCGACACACTACCTCTATGGATGAGGTGAGGTCATGACATATGGCCTGACGGGTGGTGCGGAGGCAGGTGCAACCCTAGAGGTTACCCTTTGCTTCCGTCCACGTCGCGACCCTACCAGCGCTGCTGATCCAAGTGAGCCCAGGGTGGACTTTTGGGGCAATCTGGAGTGGCAGGGCTGGTCACGCTGCAACGAGGGGGCCTCCTTCCGGTTTAGCGTTTCCCTACGGCCCCGCTCGGCATCCACATTGCCGATGAAACCATCGTGAGCCAAGAGCACCAGGCGAGGACCTATCCCTGCAAGCTCCCTTCCTGCAGGCGCCGTGAGTGGCCGGCACTTGCCTCTCCATTGGCAGGTACCCACTAGAAAGCTGCCCAGAGCTCTGGGCGCCTGCTGGGCAACGTCAACACTGCCCTCTCGCCGCGCTCCTTCACCACTGTCATCAGGCAATCAGTGACCATCTCATCTCCTCTCCAATGCTCCGCACGACCCTTCCCCAGTATTCGCCTCGAAACGAACCCCCAAGCCCCCGTCACCCAAGACATTCCCATGTTCCTTCCTGCCTTGTCGCTCTGTACAAAAACCCCGGTATCTCCCTTCCCACTTAGACGAAACCTTGCTTCATCCAACGAATGTCCAATCCCATTCACCATCGCCCTTCATCGATCGCAGTGTCTGAACGGAACCTTGTTGACACACCTGCCTCCACAACTCAATCCTATCCGTCTTCTGTCGCCAATACCAACATGAGTGCTCCAGCCTACGAGCAGCAGGGCACCAGCTCTGGCAAGGCCCCGGTTGCTGAGCCTACCGGTCAGGACTTCTTCAACAACAACAACCTCGGCGCCGAAGATGAAAGGCCCAGGCCTACTAATGGTGCCACCTCGAGCGATGCTGGTGGCATCAACGGCGGCTTCCAGCCCACCCACAAGATGACAGTGAAGCCTCCCGCCAAGGAGGACCTCCAACGCAGCTATGCCACCGTTGTGGAGGAGAATGCCAACCCCAAGGGCTGGTACGGCACCATGATCAATACCGCCGGTGCTATCATTGGTACCCTTGGCGCTATTCCATGCTGCATCATCTGCCCCAACCCTTACAAGAGCGTCAATCAGGGCAATGTTGGCCTCGTCACCAAATTCGGCAAGTTTTATCAGGCTGTTGATCCTGGCCTCGTCAAGATCAACCCCCTCAGTGAGCGCCTGATTCAGGTCGATGTCAAGATCCAGATTGCCGGTAAGTTCTGAACGTCCGAATCTCGACAACGGCTTGTGTGCCTGACTTCAGTGCAGAGGTTCCCCAGCAGACTTGCATGACCAAGGACAATGTTACTCTCCACCTGACATCTGTCATCTACTACCACATTGTTGCGCCCCACAAGGCCGCCTTTGGTATCTCCAATGTTCGCCAGGCTCTCATCGAACGCACCCAAACAACGCTCCGACACGTCATTGGCGCGCGCATCCTTCAGGACGTCATCGAGCGCCGCGAGGAAATCGCCCAGTCTATTGGCGAGATCATCGAGGACGTAGCGGCTGGCTGGGGTGTGCAAGTTGAGAGCATGCTCATCAAAGACATTATTTTCAGCCAGGAACTGCAAGAGTCACTGTCCATGGCTGCCCAGAGCAAGCGTATTGGTGAAAGCAAGATCATTGCCGCCAAGGCCGAGGTAAGTTGCGAGTTCTGTTTCCCCCTTTGTCCTACGAAATTTGACTAACACCCATGCTAGGTCGAAGCTGCCAAGCTCATGCGACAGGCTGCCGACATTCTATCGTCTGCACCCGCCATGCAGATCCGCTACCTCGAGGCTATGCAGGCAATGGCCAAGTCTGCCAACAGCAAGGTTATCTTCTTGCCTGGTGCTAGCCAGGGCATGCCTTCTTTGAACAACGCGCACATCACGGATGGCAATGGCGAGTCCAGCAACAAGAATGATATCACCGGCAGCGACTTCGGAGGTGGGAACCCCGGTTTTCAACAGGCGCTGAACTCCCGCGTTATCGAGAACCTTTGAACGTGTTCATCGAATGCTGACTCGAGGGTTGTGTCGCGTTGAAATAGCGTGGTCCCATTCCTGATTTCGATGCCCTCCACTCGTCGCTGGGCATTTGTCCTCGGCACTGCGATCTTGCTTGACGAATTCTACGATAACCCTCTACACAATCTTTGCGCTTTCCACAGTCAACCCTTTCTGTCGAATTTCATATACCCACCCTTTTTCATCGCAAGAACGACTCACAATGACGAATGCACTGTTCTTGCTCAGTTTTCTGCAGACAGGAAGTTTGCAGCAGCTCGGGCTCGCACGCAGAGACGAAAGACGCCCTGCGTCGTTGCCGAGAAAAGGCAGGACGGATGATACCCCTCGTTCGCTACCATTCCGTGATTCAAGGATACGGTGGTTCTGTATTTGCTTGGTGCAGAGATCTTAACTAGTTGCTTCAAGTTTTTGTGCGCACTCGACTGTTTTTAATGAATGTACTTTACATGTTTGTTGCATGGAATATTCCTGTTTCCCGTGACCTGACCCAGGTGTTCAGGATGAGTCTTTGCGCATCATGAACCCGCCCACCAACCGCCCCGCATCAACAAGATCCGAACTGGTGTAATGGCTAACATTTGACGCTCTCACCGTCAGGCTCAGGGTTCGATTCCCTGGTTCGGAACATGACGCGCTTGTAAGGGCTGAGCTTCAATTTTGGATTTTTTTTGGTGTTTCGAAATGTTTGGGTCATCAAAGGGTTGCGCATGCTGCGGTTGTCCCAAGCTGTGTTAGTGGCAGTGCACAGTCACGCAGTCGGCGAGCTAACAAAGGGGGGACAAGGTGTGAACGAACGAAAGCCATGAAATTCACGACTGTTGGTGGTATCATTGAATACTAATCGTCAAAGCCCCCAAACTCCTCCTCCTTAGCCTCTTTGGCGCCATTCTTCCTCCTTACCTCCTTGATGAGGTCCTGCAGCTCCCTGGCCTCGATCTTCTCGTCCTCGGTCATCTTGCTCTCGCGCTCCTTGTCCCTCTTCTTCTGCCGCTTCTCCCGCCTCTCGACGCGCACCTCGGCCTTTTCGTGCTTGTCGCTCCAGGCCTCGTTGGTCCGCCTCTTGCGCTTGTTCCTGTCGACGTCGCCGGCCTTTTTGACGC